GATAGATAGATAGATAGATAGATAGATAGATAGATAGATAGATAGATAGATAGATAGATAGAATTAATAGACAGACAGACAGAGGATAGATGGATGGATGCATAGGTAGATATAATTCGTGACCCGTCAAATGTGCGCCTGACAAATGCGCACCAACAAAACCGCACCCACCATCAACAAACAACATAGTGGGACGCGAAAATGTTATAAAGGGTTAGGGTTATAACGTTTTCGCGTCCCATTATGTTGTTTGTTGATGGCAGGCACGGTTTTGTCGGCGCGCATTTGTCGAGCGCACATTTGTCGGTGAACCGATATAATTGATAGACAGACAGATAGATATAATAGACAGACACACACAGACAGATATAATTAATAGATAGATATAATTAATAGATATAATTAACAGATAGATATAATTAATAGATATAATTAATAGACAGACACAGACAGATATAATTAATAGATAGACAGTCCTCGAGTTATGACCACAATGGACTCCAAAATGTCATGTTTCTAAGCGAGACATTTGTTAAGTGAGTTTTGCCCCATTTTACGACCTTCCTTATCACAGATGCGGATAAAGATTTATTGCCACCTTAAATTTTCTACAAGAATTTGAGCTGCTAAGGGTCAAGGGGAAAATTCGCAGGAGATAAGAAAGGCATTCCATGTGGGACAGACTTAGATCTCTTGCCGGAGCGCAGAGACTCGTGACTAATGACGCATTTGACCCCACTCTCGGGCTCAGCCTGGTTATTTCGTACCTGGGCTAACTTGATTCCCTCCTCCCACCAGATGTTTAGCTGAGTTGGCTCTTGCATCCTTTCTATCTGTATCTCAGTACCAGGATGCCCTGCAGCTTTGCCTGGTGCAAAACCTGACCATCACGGAAGAGATGGCAGAGAAGATGACCATTTCAAAAGATTCCAAGGAACTTTCCGAGGATTCCCGGCGGGAGCTCCTGGAACAGATCGCTGACTGCTGTATGAGGCAGGGCAATTATCACATGGCCACCAAGAAATATACCCAAGCAGGGAACAAGCTGAAGGTAAGAAAGTGGGAGGAGGAGGAGAGCCTCAGCTGGTTTAATGGTCCTCGACCTATGACCACAACGGAGCCCAAAATTTCCATTGCTAAGCAAAGTGACGCGGTGGCTCAGTGGCTAAGACGCTGAGCTTCTCGATCGGAAAGTTCAGCAGTTCGAATCCCTAGCGCCATGTAACGGAGTGACTTCTCCCGTTCCTTGTCCCAGCTACTGCCAACCTAGCAGTTCGAAAGCATGTTAAAATGCAAGTAGAAGCATTCTGCGTGCCTCCGCTTTGGGATTTCTCCACCAGGAGAAATCAGCCTAGCTGGGTGTGTTTAACTTGCTCTCCCATTCCGAGAAAACGGGCTTCCACACAGCATCAAACTGGCCCGCCCAAGATGGAACTTGTGTTTATTGCAAAGGTAGCCTTAATTTGGAATTAAGATTGCCGGGGGAAATATCCACAACCTCAGATATGCAGATGATGCCACTCTAGTGGCAGAAAGTGAAGAGCCATTAGGCAGTTGGGCGAATCCCTAGCGCCGCGTAATGGAGGGAGCTCCCGTGACTTGTCCCAGCTTCTGCCAACCTAGCAGTTCGAAAATACATAAAAAATGCAAGTAGAAAAATAGGGGCCACCTTTGGTGGGAAGGTAACAGCATAGTAAAATAAGAGAGAGTGTGATAAGCCAAAGATCCAGCAAGGAATATGGCTGCAGGCCTGACAGGCGGCCTCTCCTCAAAAGGAAAACAATTCCCTGAAACATAGCTTATATGTGCTCTTTAACAAACCTTGTTTTACACCAACTGCTTTATGGAGGTTGAAAGATGTAGCACCTTATAAACATAACTGAAACACTCTGTATCTCTTGAGGTCTTTGCACCAGCTTGCTTGCACTAACTGATGAACAAGTGATTTTAACCCCCTTATGCTGGTCTGCAACTGTCACGAAGATTGGCTTTGATGCAACTCTACCCTTTTGTTGTGTAGGCCATGCGGGCTCTGCTGAAATCTGGCGACACCGAAAAGATTGTCTTCTTTGCCGGCGTCTCGAGGCAAAGGGAGATTTACATCATGGCTGCCAATTATCTGCAGACCCTGGACTGTCGCAAAGATCCAGACATCATGAAGAACATAATCAGCTTCTACACCAAAGGGAGGGCGCTCGACCTCTTGGCTGGCTTTTACGACGCGTGTGCTCAGGTGGGCGAGACCCTGCTTCAGATCCTCCATGCCAAACCTTCTCAACGTGGTCAGTTAGGAAAGAAAGACCCCTGGCCCATGATTAGCCAAAAATATGCTTTACTAAAGCCAAGGGAGTTACCGAGCAGGCAAAGCCGGATCTGAGATTTTCGCGCGCAAAAGATACAATTAATTTCCCCCTTGTTCACAGCCAAGCTCCTAGCTATCAATCAATCAGGTGTTAATAAATTGCTTGGGACACAGTCCCTGTCTTGTTGTCTCCACATTCTTTTGGTGTGACTTTGAGACGGCTGGTACTTCCCACCGGACTGTGCTGCTTGGGTTTGAGTCCTTTGAGTTTCCTCCCTATGTTCCCCCTCCGCGCTGCTCCCTCCCCACACATTACTGATGTCAGGCTGTCAGCTTGCGAGGCTTAGCTTAGTACGGGTGTCAGCAACCCATGGCTCCGGAGCCGCACGTGGTTCTTTGTCCCTTCTCCTGTGGCGCCCTGCCAACCTGGTTGTGCAACCTGCTCTCTGTCCCGAGACACTGGCCCAACCCAGCCATGGCCGATGTCAACTTCGCTAACATGTGGGCTGGCGGGCTGGCAATGGAATCCAGGAGGAAGGTACGACAGAAAGGGGGACAGGTCCGCCATTGAGAAATGAGAGGGAGGGAGAGAAATGGGGAGAAAAAGAGAAATGAGAAAATGATGGGAGAGAATGAGAGAGAAGAAAAAGAGAAACAAATGAGAGAGAGAGAAGGGGAAAGAAAGAATTAAGAGAGGGAGAGGAAGGAGAGAAAACAAATGAAAGAGAGAAAGGGAAAGAAAGAAAGAATTAAGAGGGAACGAGAGAAATAAATGAGAGAGAGAGAGTGAGAGAGAGAGAGAGAAGGGGAAAGAAAGAATTAAGAGGGAAAGAGAGAAACAAATGAGAGAGAGAGAGAGAAGGGGAAAGAAAGAATTAAGAGAGGGAGAGGAAAGAGAGAAACAAATGAGAGGGAGAGAAAGGGAAAGAAAGAAAGAAGAGAGGGAGAGGAAAAAGAGAAAAACAGAAATGGGAGGGAGGGCGAGACCCATTTCCCACAGAAGACACCGTGAGGCACAAAACCTGGGTAGGTGTGGCTGGGGGTGTCATGTGACTAGGTGGGGGTGACCACACCCACCCAGGTTTTGTGGCTCCCAATGTTTTCTTTTCTGTGGGAAACGGGTCCAAATGGCTCTTTGAGTCTTTTAGGGTTGCCGGCCCCTGGATTAGCAGAACGACAAGCACGACACTCCATTTCAATTGCCTGACAGTAACAGAAGAGGCCGCTGCTCTTTTTCCTTCCTTGCAGGTGGAAGTGGATGATTTCCAGAATTACGAGAAGGCCTTGGGAGCCCTGACCGAGGCGTACAAGTGTATGTCCAAGGCAAAGACGCGGAGCCCAGTCGAGCAAGAGAACAAGCTTGCACACTTGCAGAGCAAGATGACACTGGTGAAGAGATTCATCCAAGCCCGGAGGTGAGAGGGGGGAGCCTGGGGAGATCTTTATAGCAGCGTTTCTCAACCTTGGCTACTTTAAGATGGGTGGACTTCAACTCCCAGGATTCCCCCAGCCAGCAGTGCTGTTTTATAGTACAGGTAGTCCTCAGCGGAGGCCACAATCTTAAAAAATCTCCAATGGTGGAGTACTCAGAACTTCTGGAGGGAAGCCATTCCATTGAATGTTTTGTGAAGAAGTTTCTTAGTTCTAGGTTGCTTCTCTCCTTGATTAGTTTCCACCCATTGCTTCTTGTCCTGCCTTCAGGTGCATTGGAGAATAGCTTGACTCCCTCTTCTTTGTGGCAACCCCTGAGATATTGGAACGCTCCTATCATGTCTCCCCTGGTCCTTCTTTTCATAAGACTAGACATACCCAGCTCCTGCAACCGTTCTTCATATGTTTTAGCCTCCAGTCCCCTAATCATAGCAATAACTACAGCACTTAGACTTATAGTCAAACTATTCTCCAAGGCACCCGTGTGTAGAACAAGAAGCAAAGGGTGGAAACTAATCAAGGAGAGAAGCAACTTAGAACTGAAGAGAAATTTCCTGACAGTGAGAACAATTAATCAGTGGAACAGCTTGCCTCCAGA